ATAAAATTTGCTGATGACAAGAATGAAGAGTGAGAAAGGATTAGTTTATCTTTTTGTAAGGTCTTAAAGACCTTTTAATGGTAAATTGATGATAAAACATCTGAGGCTTCTGCTGTGGCAATACTTGACAGCTGTTTATTTTAGCAGTGATATTTGTATTTACAGAAAAGAGGGACAGTACTGCCTTGAGACAGAGTTCCTGTATCCTGTGACTTAGGTCAAGGTGAGCCAAATCATGGAGTCATGCAGAGCACATCTGAGCTTTGAAATGGAATAAGAAGTTGAATTCAGTTGTGTTATGAGCATGAGAGAGATACTTCAAAATATATGTACAGAAAAGGAACAGATATCTTAATCTTTTTAATATGTTTCCTTCTGGATTCTGTAATAATTTAGTGGGGTTTTTTTGTTTTTGCTTTTGTTTTTTTACATCCTGCACATTTCTCTTCTGGAGACAAGAGTCTGAAAGCAAATAGAATTTTAATTGGTGTTCCTCAGGTATTAATTGGTGATGAGAAGTCACCCATTCATGCTCTGGGATTGAAGATGGTCCCTAATTTGCTATTTTCAAATCCATGCCCACTTTGCTTGTGTGACTTGGATGCTGGGTAGTACATAAACTTTGAAGGCAAAGAAAAAGGTTTCTGTTGTGATAAGCTAATAAATGTTGCTAAAGGACTAGATTTTGTTTTGTTCTTCATGGGGTTTTTTTTGCTTGTCAAATGGAGTTTTTTTTAGGCACTAAGAAAATGAGTAGTTACCAAGAAAGGATGTGGGAGTTCACTGTGCAGAGGACTTAGCAATGTATGAATTTAGCAAAACCCCAAATCTGCTTCAAAAATAGGAACAAACAGTCAAAAATGGACATACAAATCTGGAGCAGATTATTAATTTTCATCATCTCTAACTTGTTAAGATGGGGTTTTGATGTTGGGAGAGTAAGATAGAAATTAGCATTCCAACAGGTTGAAACTGATGTACTTTGATTCAAAATCTTTCTAGTTTATGATTTGACAAATCAATATTTACTCCTTTGTGTTGTGGAGTTCAGTTCCCTGAACTTTTCAACTGCTGAAATGTCTACATCCTGAAGTTAGTTTAGCACACTATTCTGGGTGCCAAGAAAGTAGAAATAGCTATTATCCCACACTATTCTACAGGCATGAATCAAGAACTTCATGACCCCCTGAGACAGCAGTCTCCTTAACCTTGCTAAATGTTTGAGAGAGAAGTACAAAATCCTATGTGTGTCATTTTACAGAGAAATTTGAAGGGCAAAACCAACACAAATTGTAGACCAGTTGGGGGGGGGGGGGAATCCCTGTTTCTACCAGCACAGTTTTAGGAGCTGCAGCAGGAGTGTGTTCATAGAGAAGTCGCTGCTTTGATTTCAGTTGCAAACTTGTGGAACTATTTGATGCTGGAGCTTGACCTTTTCTGAGATCTGAATCAGTGCAGTGCCATTAGCAGTGGGTTGCTCTAAACGCGCTGTAGCACTAGTCACCTTGCTTGTCATACCCAACTGTAAATTCAGTGGAGTCGCCAGCATAAAACTGAAATTTGTGCTTTCTAGCTGAAGGGGGTTTGTGACAGATACCTGGTTAAACATGAAAACTATACATGTTAGCATATGGGAAAGGGCTGTTTTTCATATATCTGTGCTGTAAAATAGGAATATTTATGTGGGTGGCCTTGCTTTTGTTTCTGTCTATTCTTTTTAAAGCTTCTGAATATCCATGCTATGAGGAAAGTTTTGATGCACAGGGATCAGTGTTTGTACTTTCCAAATTGTGCAGCCGTTAACTTTCAGGGGACCGTTTCAGCTTTTGCATTTAGGTAAGCAGTGTTTAGCACAGCCCAAAATTTCCTGAAAGCTAAGGACCAGTGTCAGTAGCAATTTATGGTTTTATCATGGTCTTATCAAAGTCACAATTCTGTTTGCAATGTACTTGGGATACAGATGGAAAAAATAACTGGGAATTATGAGGAAGACTGTGGACTGAAAGATTAAACACAGTACAGTGTAGTCTCAGGGTGAGGCCAAGTTTCTTCAGTTACTGCATGGGAGAAAAGGGAGCAGAATTCGCCAGAGGGCAGCATTCCTCAGGCTGCTCTCAGTCTCCTTACTTGAGTAAAACAATCAATCTTTTTGCAAATTTAAGAAATCATTGCTCTGTGTAGATGGAAGAATAAAAAAATGCTTCCTTAACATCCTGTCACAGGTATATATTATTAGTTATCTTTATTAAAATTTAACAAGAGAAATATACCAAGAAAATATCTAAGACGAGGATGAAAAAGGAATGGAAAAAACCCTATAGAAACACTAACCTAGAGTTGGTGTAACATAATAATCAGGTGTTAGTAATAACATTGCTGAGAATACTGTTCTGTCTTCCCAGCCTGGTGAAATATTTAAATAGAAGGTACTTTGATTTTTTTTTTTTTTTTAAATTCTTATGATATGTAGGTAAGTCAAGAGGGTCAGACTGAGATATCTGTAGCTGAATCTAGTGAGACTAAATAAAAGGAATAGGCTGTAGTCTTGAAGAACTGCATGACTGGCAAGGCTGTTCTCTGCTACAGATACCTTCTCTAGCTTGTTCCCAGCTGGAAGCTGTATCTGCTGTTCGGTATCTGGGTAGCATGCATGGGCAGCATCTGTGTGGTGGTAAGAACCAATTGCTTTAAGTAACACTTTCTTTGAGTGATGGGCTCAAAATGCTTTTGAGATACAGGCTTTTTTATTTTATTTGATGCCTGTGTCAGTGATATTTCTGTATTGTACCTCTGAAGTGCCACAAATCATTGTTGCAAATGTGGTTCATAGTAGATGAAGTGGTTTGTGTTTTATGTTCCACTAAAAACTGGCAGCAGGGTCAGACAATTTTACCAGAAGAGGTAAATTATATGCTTTCTTGGCTCAGAGAGAGAGAGAGGTATCACACCACATACATTTTTGTGGTTAATGTCCACTTTGGAGATAAAATTAATTTTTCATGCACGTTTTGAGGAGGCAGAGTTGAAACTCTTAGCATTTTAATGTCATTAGGGGATTGTTGCAGCCTCTAGCTATGTTAAATGGGACTAATAATTTCAGCTAATCAGTGTCTAACAACTTCTGAAAAATGGAAACTAGTTTAGGAGTGATGTAAAGAGAAGTTTTCCACATTAGTGGAATGTTGGGCAAATGCTAATGATCTTCGTACAGTTTCCACTTGTGTTTGGAGAGAGGGTCTCTTAAGGTCACCACAAAAAGTTAATAGTAATGAGTCCCTCACTCTAAAACAAATTGCAAAAGTCTGTATACATTTCTAAATTTCAAAGCAGGGATATAGATGTCATGTGAAACATTAGTCACTGAGTTTGTTTAAAATTTTTTTATATTGCATTTTTGTTTAAGAATTGTTGGCTTTGCAGCCAAAGGTAAATCTTGAAATGACTAGTGAAGCTGTGGAACTTCAGGTTGATGCATAGTGAGTCTTTTAACGGTAGTTTTTATCCACCCAAGACAACATTAACACCAAGAAGTCTTCAGATCTCTGCATGGCATCGTCATGGGTAAAACTTTTAAAAGACAGTAGCTTTAATTTTCATTAGTAGATTTTTGAGGGATGCTCATGCTTATTTCATAAATCTGCTGCTGGGCCAAATCCTACCATAGTGCATCATGTGAATCCATTCTTTTAATTTTTCCTCTTTCATTCTTTCATTTTTGTTACTCTTGGGGCTGATTTGTGATTAAAAATCATTCTTCTTCTTAAAAAAAAAAAATTCATAGAGGACCAAGAGCTTCAAAAAAAAAAAAAGGTAGAAGAGACTGTATGTTTTCTGTAGTTTGGCTGCTTCTTTCTTTAGATACTCTGGGTCTCTTAAGTCCAGCTCATACTTCAGGAAGGGACCTTCTAGTTACACTGGAAAAACAAACCCAGAGAAACTTACCATGCTTTGCTCAATAACTGAATTCTAGAGTTATTTGTATTATTGTTAGCTGTTCATTCACAGCTTCTGTGCATCTGTGACACTGTCTTAAGGTTATTCTTCCTGTGAGTTTCATTTGAGGTTGGTCTTTTTAAATGCACATTTAGGCATATTGTTGACTACAAAACTCATTGCTTTTCCTCATCTACTATATAATAATTGTATAAATATTTAATTATTTCTTGACATCATAAGAGAAAACAATTGGTTCCTAATCAAACCATCAGGCCATTTAGCATATCCAGGAAACTGGTTAGGCATCAGATTCTGATGTTAACCTTTGGGCTCCAAGATGCTTTCATATGATGCAAATTTGTCTTTAACATCCCTCAGCCCGTTAGTGCTCAAAATGAGTTTTTAGCAAGCATCAATATGTTTTTTTGGGTTGGGGGAGGGTGCTTTAGTTTGTAATTGGGGAATTAAAAGTGGAGATGATAATAATGTGAAAAGGCTTTTTTGTGGGATATGTCAACCTGGGATTTCTTTATTCTCAAAGTCTAAAAGTAATGTGCAGATACCTGGATGCTCATGCATAATGCAAGGTGCCTTTTGATGCTATTACTCCAGGCTTTTGAAACTTTATAATTTCGTTCACCACCAAAATCAGTAACTGGTATTTTTTTCTGTATGTAAAATAAAACACAGTAGTATTGTTATCCACCCTGAGCCATAATCCTCCAGTTTTAGACTATCTTGAGGATTTTTGGTCATTGTTTCATCCTTAATGAATCTATTGGATGTTGCACACATTTTTACTGAGTTATTTGACAGTAAAATAAACATGGTATTTTTCACTTATATAGCTTACTTGAAGATCAAAGAAAGGCAGAAGAAATGGTGTTACTTTTTTGGCAGCAAGTCTATAGGCCTTGCAATAGCCAGTGCAGTAATATGAATGTGCTCCAATTTGAGCGATATGCTGAAATTAACTTGTTTTGTGGGTGAAATCAAATATAAGCGTTCTTATTAGCTTTCTTTTAAGTGGAACATAGTGATAACTTCTGTTATTTTTGGAACAGGGTTCCGGATTTTGTGAGGGAGAAGCGTTTTGGGAACTGGCTTAAAGATGCACGAGATTGGGCTATATCTAGAAACCGGTACTGGGGAACACCCATCCCTTTGTGGGTCAGTGACGATTTTGAAGAGGTGAGTAAGAAAACAAAGGTTTCCAGTTGACAGAAAAGCCTATCTGTATACGTTGTTTGCTTATTTTAATAGACTGCTACATCTTCAGCTGCTGCAGTCTTAAGTTCTATTAATGTGTCTTAACAGTATATGTATGCATGCATTTGTGTGGCCATACATGTTTGCTTTTGCTTGAAAACTGCAAGCAATTTTTCTTGTTTTTTATATTAGAATTAATCTTATCTTTCCTGGAAGAATTTGCAGTGATGGTAAATCTAATGGAAATAACAAATGCAGTGACAAAATGTCAAGGAAGCGGTTTTTTTCACTCGGTCCTTTCAGTCTCTTTTTGAAATTGTGATGCTTGGTTACTTTAAGCCAAATGAATTGCTGAAGGTGTAAAAGCAAGTCCACCATAGTAGACCAGTGAAAATATGTATTTGTAGTGCTACAAATGTGAATATAACAGACTATAAAAATGTGAATCTAGTGAAATGATGAAAGAGTGTAATGGGAATTCCAGAAACGAGTTTTTTGAAGTTGTAAGGTACCCCTCAGTTGGTAGCATAAAGATAACTACACAAGTAAATACTTCACACAGTTTTGATGATTGCTGTTTTCTAAGTGTCAAAACACCAAGTTTTGAAAATGTTTCTGAAGATAAAGTGTGGGTTAGGCGTGTAAGTCATTCCTCATGCTGGAAATAGGAAATGCTGATCAATGTCAGGATGTCCATGGAAGGTAAATACTAATGATCCCAAGGCTTTGTTTTTATCTCCCTTGATTTAAAAAAGTTTTAGACGTGGAAGACCTCAAATAGGAAAACGTATGCCGGAAAAGTATTTTTGTTGTTTTAAACTGCACTATTGCTTAGATGTGCACCATAAAGCATATTTTATTTCCTCTTCATTGGAAATCTTGCTGATCAGGGAGATATTGGGGGAGGGAGGAAGTTACTTCTTGCAATTACGATGTATCTAAGAAAGGCTTGGCATTTGAATTCTATTTATGCTGTGAGCTTGTTTGTAAATTACTGGTAAACCAAGTGCTTCTGTGTCTCATATAACAGTTAATTTTTAACATTTATTCAAAATTTTCAGGTATAAACTGTCAGTCTTCAAACTAAACTTTAAGTCCCTTGTTTGGTATAACAGGATTTTTTTAGATAGAGAAGAGGCTTTCAGTTTTATGCTAAAGTATTCAAGACTTCATTCTACAGCTGAAAAAGATTGTGTAAAGGTTATATATTACTCCCACTCCTTGCCTCTAATAATATTTCATTTTCTGTACAGTCTCCCAATGTCTGTATTACTGTGTGTACAGATTTTTTTTGCTTTTTTAGGTTTGATTTGTTTGGTTTTCATAACAATGTAATGTCTACCTTAGAAGATTGACCTTTCCTTTGAAATTAGCTGCAAATATTCCTCAGGGCTTAGCATTCGGAATAATGATAGAAATACCAATAGATCTATTATTTTTATCCATAGATGCTATACATTTCTGTTTGCTCTAGAGTCTGAATGTCATGCTTCAATAGTTGAGTATGGCTTCTGGACCATGCTAAATTTCAAGTTAGGGGTTTTTTTAATATTCACTCTCTTTTTATGCATGTAGGATATAGCTTAAAAACTAAATAGCATGGGAACTGATGTGGATCTTAAGGCCTAAGTGACATCTGCTCTCATATAGAAATAATATTCACTCAAAATTTCCTGACTTCAGTTTTGCTTCAGCCTAGTGCCATGTGAGATTGCAGAGCCGCCTCTTCATGTCTTGTTCTCAAAAGAACACTTTGTCGCATGCAATTATGCTGTGCATATTAAATCCTGGAGAAGTAATAACAATTCCTTATTTAATATACAGTAAGGTGAATTAATTGGTATTAAAGTGAATTTTATTACAAATCAGTATCTGGTTTCCCACAGTTTTATTTTAGCTTTTATGTTCATTTTATTTTAGCATAATTATAATGTAGAGACACATAATGGAAGTTAAATTTTGAAGCTTGTGTTTATTACCACATTTTTGCAGACAGTTTATCATTTTAAGCTCTCAAATCTCAATATTTCCTCAGTGGTGGAACACATCTCATTTGGATTAGATAATAAAATTTTTTAATATGGTACCCAAGTTGATAAAGCGGACATAGGCTAATTTTATAGGATTTGCATACGAATTATAGTATTAAATATTCAGTGATGTTATGGAAATGCTCTGATTTTTTCACTGGTTGTCACTCACGTAAACTAGTTTTGGTGCACTTGGTCTTGCATAACGGATTTGGAATGAGAGGACTCTGGCTATGCTCTCCTGAAGGGTGAAGGAATTTCTTTAGGTCTGTTTCTGGTCTGCTTTGAGGCTGCATTAAGAATGACACTTTTAGCTGACCTTAGCTGTTATTTCTTTTACTAATTACTATTCAGAAGATGCTTTCTAAAGATCCCAGAATGTCTTGCTGATATACTGATACACTACATGGACTTCTTTCTTCCCATGAACACTCCTTATTCTTCGATTTATAAGTCTTAATAGAGCTGAAATGACAAACCAATAAAAGCAAACATTTTTATTTAATAGGGAACTATGCAGAACTATGTCACAGGAACATTGAGGTCCACAAATGCTGCCGGATGGCTTTATTCTTCCTATTTACATGGATAATCCCGGATATAATGCTAAAGTTCATTTCATTAGAAGTATTTAACCTTGATCTCTGATTTCACGTTAGGTCGCAGTAATGCTGAAACGGTTGAACAGCCCCCAGTCCCAGCCTATTTATTTCAGTCTTTACTGTCTGCTATTAAATGTTGATATAGCTGGTTTTGTAGTTGATGTGGCCAAAAAATAAAATAGAGGAGGAACAAGTGACTGGTAGGGGAAGGGGCCAGGGTACGAAA